TTGTGCTTTTGAACATTCCCACCACATATGGTAACAGGTCCCTAGCGATTCTTTACATTTCCAACATTTCGGTGAGGTCTTTTTGTCCATTTTGGCTCATCTCACAGGTGGAAGGTGCCACCTATAAAACATCTTGTATAAATTTTCTTTGTACACAGTAGCTGGCCTTGAGTCCCAGGAGTAGGCAACCTTGGCTCTTTTATGACTCGTGGACTTCAATTCCCAGAATTCCTGAGCCAGCTTGGCTGGCTCAGGAATTCTGGGAGTTGAAGTCCACGAGTCATAAAAGAGCCAAGGTTGCCTACCCCTGGCCCTTGACTAAAGACTCCATCCATTCTTTTTTTCCTGCTTGAGCAGCTTGAAAACCTTGCTATAGAATTCGTTCCGTTGAAGGAGAATATTAGCTCAGGGTTGAAATGAGGGGTCTTTGGTGCTTTCTGAGCTTGGTTGTTTTCAGGTGGATGTTTCCTTACCCAACTAGGTAACATTATCAGTGCTGCCGTAGTCATTCGTTCCGTTCCCATCCTGTTTTTACTTTACCCCAGCTCAAAGTGTCCTGCTTTGTAGCCAACTGTCCTTTCTGGTCACAGGCCGTCAAATGGAGGTCTAACCTGGTCTCAGCTATGTGAGCTCAGGATGGTTGTTTATTAATCTTGGGTTAGGTCAGGATTACCTGAACAGTAGAAGCTACCCCCAACCATCTGGTGGATCCATTTCATACAGGACCATAGATAGCAACTGATTCTGGGCTGGTGGTGGATAAGCCGTTTCCCCTTGGTGGACATGTTGAGGTTGAGCGTAGGACCTTCTAAATTCTCTGCCACGGATCTAGAACCCTTCCCAGTCATAGAAAGCTATTTTGGTTCTCTGTGTGTGTGTGTGTGTGTGTGTGTCTGCATTTTCAAGTCAGTGTTGATTCCTGGACAAGTCCCTGCCGTTTTCTTGGCAAGATTCCAGAAGTGGCTTGCCATTGCTTTCTTCCTAGGGCTGAGGGACTGACTGGCCCAAAGTCACCCAGCTGGCTTTGTGCCTAAGGCGAGACTAGAACTCAGGATCCTCTGGTTTCTAGCTGGTGCCTTCACCCTCACACCCTCACACTGGCTCTGCCCTTAATTCCAGGTTGCTTCTCTCCTTGATCAGTTTCTATCTGTTGCTTCCTGTCCTGCCTTCAGGTGCTTTGGAGAATAGTTTGACACCCTCTTCTTTGGGGCAGCCTCTCAAATACTGGAATACTGCTATCGTGTCCCCCCCCCCCCNCCCCCCCCCCCCGTTTCTTCTTTTCTTTAGGCTAGCCAAACCCAAGTCCTGCAGCCATTCTTTGTATGTTTTTATACAACGCTTTCTGATGAACAATGGAAGATGTGCGCCACTTCCTGGCAGATAATCAAAATTGCAACAATAAAGAAAAGGCAAGAATTGTTTTCACAGTGCAGGATCAATGCATTATAGATCTCTCTGTTACATCGGAGGTTGAAAAATTCTAGATTGAAGTCCACGCATCTTAAAGCTGCTAAGGTCAAGAAACATTTCTCCAGGGCCAGGCCATGGAAGGAATATTTAGCTTATTAAGTATTTTCCACATTTGCAAGTAAAACAGTTCCAGAATTTTAAGGTTGCCCAATAAAATGCACCATGTTGGCCTACACTACATGGGCTCTCAAGATGTATTTCCTATTGGCAACATTGACGTAGGAATTATGGGGCCGAAAACCCAATGTACCTGGAAGGTACATATTGCATTATTGAAGGTTAATATTCTTTTCAACCTGTATCAATGTAATATCCCTATTAAATATTGATGCTATCCAAATTGCACATTAATATTACACGATTAGCATCGCCCATTGATCTATCGCATTGCACAAAGCTTAATTTCAATTAAGTCAATTTAAGTGAAGCAAAACATCAACTAAGAATACATAGATGGGCTTTACTGTCATGCAGGAGGAAAAACCCGTAATCCAACTTTTAGGGATATAAGAATATAAGTTCTCAGAGTGAGATGGCTGACCTACTCAGTTGCAGCAAAATATCACCAAGGCACTTGTGTCAAAAGGTTGAATCATGGCATCTTGACCAATTTTGTTAACCTTTTAACAAAGATTAACAAAGATTGGTCCAGTTACCCTGATTCAACCTTTTAACACCTTTGGCTTGGATGAGGGGTCCTCAACCTTGGCAACTTTAAGACTTGTGGACTTTAACTCCCAGAATTCTGGGAGTTGAAGTCCACAAGTCTTAAAGTTGCCAAGATTGAGGACCCCTGGCTTGGATGATTGAGTCTTCACTGATGTACACCAAGACACTTTTGACATCTTAAAGACTAACACGTTTATTATGATGTGACATTGTACGGACTGTAGTCCATTTGATCAGATACATAAAACAACAGACCTTTTTAGATAACCACAATTCGTAAGGCTGGGTTGTAGGAAAGAGAAGAATAGCGAACACAGAGCGTGAAGTATTTTTTTAAGTGTGCTTAAAAGTAATGGCCAGGAGAGGGTGACCAGCCATTCATTAAAAAGAATTCCCAGCTCACAATGAACAGATTTATCACAGCTAATGCATTAAAAAAAACAAAAACAACCAGCCTGCTGAAATGCTACCTTTAGCTTTGAAATCATCCTGAAAAGGAATGTTCTGATTTAAGTTGCAAGTGGAAAGTTAAAATCCTGCTAAATAAAAATGAAGAGCCTCCAAGTTCTGGTTTCCTCTCTTGAGTTCCTCTGTCTGTGTCGCGTAAGTCTTGTTATCCCTTCGCTCACTTACCAAAGCAAGCGTCCGTCAATTGTCAGATGCCCGTCTTGTTTTCTCAGGTTCCAAAGAGGTAGATGTGAAATCATAGGAGGCAGGCTCTGCCTGAATTTCAGAACAAGTTTCATAATAGTAAAGAGCGGCGGAAAGAACTACCAAGAGACCTTGCCATCGTTGGAGCTGTCCAAGGTGAGGCTGGATGGCCATCTGCTAGGAACACTTTAATCTTGGTTCCTGCAGTGAGCAGGGGTTGACCTAGCAGACCTTAAAGGGCTCCTTAAAGTCCATGATTCCATCCTGGCTCTTAAGTGATCGTAGCATCACTTAGACAAGATTTCCTTCTTTGGCTCAGAATAAAATCATTCATCTCCAACAGTGTCATCCCAGTAGAGAGTTTTTAAGAGGTGCACAATGAGTTGATTGGGGGAGGCTTCTGCTAACCACAATTCTAGTTCAACTTTCCATGTGAGGGAAAGCAAAAAATGGTTGCATTAGTCATCTCCATCCCACATCCCCACCTCTTCAGCCCTGCCTTCTGGCCCTTAAGTCAACATCTGTACCGCCGATGTACAGAGTAGCTCTCCCACGCCTTATGAAAACGAGGTGTGATGCTCGCACCTTTCCTCTTGGATCAGTGTCTTTCTTAATTTTTGGCTCCCTTTTTGCATTCTTATGTACCTGACAACAAATCAAAGCTGGCCTCTCTGTGTGTTCTCCCTGCCACGTAGCTGAACTCTCAGAGGTGTCACTTCAGCTTGTTTTTCCCAGCCAAGGAGCGCAAAAGGAGTGAGCCTTCGATCCATTCGTTGGGCGTTGACCTCATTTCTTGCCAGAAGGCTACTTCCTCTTGTGTGGAATCCATCCAGTCAACAGCAATTCCATAGCTGAAGCCTGGGCCAAAGCAAGAAGCAATAAAACACTTTAGAAATGATAGCCTTGAATGAGAGTCCAACTCTTGAGCATTCCTCTTTGTGGGTCAAAACTAGGCAAGATCCATGGATGGATTTTGTGAAAAAAACAAAAACAAATTGTCATGGTAATTGCAATTGCAATTGCCAACAATAGCTGCTTTAAACCGCATATTCCTCTTTTACTAATCCAGATTAGGCTGCCTGAGTGTTCTATTTGCACTGGAAAAACCTCCAGACTGCTCAACTAACATATGAGTTGTGCATAACCCAGTGATGGCGAACCTTTTAGAGACCAAGTGCCCAAACTGCAACCCCAAACCCACTTATACATCGTTGGGTGCCGGGTGGGTGTGGCCCATTGGGTGGGTGTGGCCCATTGGGTGGGTGTGGCCCATTGGGTGGGCGTGGCTGCGGTGGTAACGGCAGACTGGGTGGGACTAAAAAGTTCAATCAATCAATTCCAACTTTGCAAGATCTTTTTTTTTCCTGCGAGAAGTTGAAATTGACTGATTGATTGAACTTTTTTTTTTTTGCACATGGCGGTGGAGGCCTAAAGTGAAAAGGTTTTATAAAACCCAGCTGAAGGCCTAAGACTGGGGCGACGGCGCGCGTGCCCACAGAGAAGGCTCTGAGTGCCGCCTCTGGCATCCGTGCCATAGGTTCACCACCACTGGCATAACCTATTCCTCTCCCCCCCCCCTCACCCTTAAAAGAGACTTGCCTCCCCATCTCCATCTCCACTCTGCCATAAACCTCAATCATTTCAATTTTTTAAAATTTAATTTTTGTGAAGTGCTTAGGCCTCTCCATGCTTCCTACCACCACCGCCTGTGTATCTGCACATCCCCACTTAGCTGCTCACCGCAGTTAACTTTAGCCTGCCAAATTATATATTTATATTTCTGGGCAGATGTTCTACTAGGGGAGAATGAAAATGAAGCAAAGAGATACAGGCACCGTTGACTTACCCGTCCCGATTCCTAGCCGGATCCCTCCAAGAAAGTGATTGGTGAGCTTTTCATGATCCCAGACCGTCAGTTCCACACAGGCATCCTTCAGATCTTCCGTGTGAAATCCGTCATACACAATGGTGTGGTTGAAGACGGGATTGGAGTCTCTCTTGACAATTCGGGTTTTTTGATAACTTTTCTTGCTGGTGTCTGGAAGCACGTAGCTTAAAAAAAAAGAGACCAGCATTTTAGCTTGGGTGGAACAGATGTTTCCTGATATTTAACATTTTCTTTTACAAAGTTTTTATTTAATTTTTTCATATAATTCAGCAGTACTTATTCAACAAACGTATTGTCTGAGTTTATCATTCAGCTAATACGAATTTAATTCCTAATCCTTTATTCTTTTCTTCAGCCACTGATAAAATAAGTCCCAAGTTTGAAAGTATTCTGTTTCTTCTTTTTCTTTCGACCTCAGAGTAAGTCTGTCCATTTCTGCACATTCTGTATTTTTTTAATTATTTCTCCCTCTGGTGGTATTTCTTCATTTTTCCAGTGTTGTGTGAATATGATTCTTGCCGCTGTTATCACATGTAAAAATCATGTATATACTTTGCTTATCAATCTTTTCGGGCATTATACCTAATAAGAAAAGTTCAGGTTTAAAATCTACATGTTTTCCCAACATCTGATATTTAACATTTTCTTTGCTGTTTTCAAAGAGTTATAGGCATCTTTTGCTAGAACGGTCCAGCAACATAATTATTAACCCCTCATTTATTAACCGGTCAGTCCTAGAGGAGATCAACCCCGACTGCTCTTTAGAAGGCCAGATCCTGAAGTTGAAACTCAAGTACTTTGGCCACCTAATGAGAAGGAAGGACTCACTGGAGAAGAGCCTAATGCTGGGAAAGATGGAGGGCAATAGAAGAAGGAGACCACAGAGAATGAGGTGGCTGGATGGAGTCACTGAAGCAGTAGGCGTGAACTTAAATGGACTCCAGAAGATGGTAGAGGACAGGAAGGCCTGGAGGAACGCTGTCCATGGGGTCGCGATGGGTCGGACATGACTTCACAACCAACAACAACAACATTAATCCCATATGTGATAAATAGGGTGACTACTCTAATGGAGAGTGACTTGACTAAGGCTAGGTTCATAGCCATATCAAAATTCAATATAGAGACTCCTGGTTTGGTAGATCAAGATAGTAGATCAAGATAGACTTACAACAGTTCATTTAGTGGCGGTTTGCAATTACAACAGTACTGAAAAAAGTGACTTATGACCATTTTTCACACTTACGACCATTGCAGCATCCCCATGGTCATGTGATCAAATTTCAGAGGCTTGGCAACTGACTTGTATTTATGACAGTTGCAGTGTCCCGGAGTCAAGTGATCCCCTTTTGCAATGTTCTGACAAGCAAAGTCAATGGGGGAGCCAGCTTCACTTAACCAGGTTACTAACTTCACAACTGTGCTGATTCACTTAACCACTGTGGCAAGAAAGGTCATAAGATGGGGCAAAAGTCACTTAACAAAAGTCTCACTTAGCACCAGAAATTTGGGGCTCAATTGTGGTCGTAGGTCAAGGACCGCCTGTATAGCTGTTCTTCAACCAAAGTCCTTAAGATTATTTTTGCAAAATTTCTCACGTCAAAATTGGACATATTTCCTTACCTTGATGCCCTCTGAGCCTGCATCCCCTGTGATCCAGCAAACCTTGATTATTTTTTTTTTCAAATACGGTTGCTCAAAACATGAACTTAAATCGGGCATCGATCCCTCAGAGGAAAGATCAGAAGCCCAGAAATGGCACACCTACCATTTCACAAAGGAGTCTACTCCAGAAGGGCGTAACTGTGGGAGATCTTTGGTATCCTTCACCCAGATATGAACCTCTCCGGACGGGGGACTTTTGCGCCCTGCCATGATGTATCATGAACATGGAAAGTGAATAAATAATGCAAGAACATCCATAAATTTAAGAATATTAGAAAAACAGGTGATTGAATCTAGCTCATTTCCCCCCCAATCTACATCCTTCCAGGCTTCGTAGACATTTCAACCCCTCCAATTTTCAGTCCATTTGGCCACTGTTTGGGTATAATGGACCTCTTTATGTTTTCTATAACACTGAAATATCTGGGAGTATCTATTCCAGCTACTTGTTCTCAGATAGAATCAGGAAGCTCCAGATTTGGACCCTTCTTACATTGGCTTCACCTAGTGAAAGTATAAAAGCTTGTTGTGGACACTCTCCCAATGTGACTGCAACAGAGTGAGGGGCTTAAATCATCATCAAATGTCTACAGAGCATCCATTTATTAGAAGACAAAGTGGTAAGGACGCTTTCCTGCTAGCTCCTTTCCACCACAACTGCTTCAGATGACAATTGTGGACACTTCCACACATTCTTTAATTTGTAAAGACTATCCATGGGCTCTTGATAGGTCACCGAAGCATTTCTGGAAATAAAAATGGAGTTCCCCACACAGCACACCAGACTTCCATTTATTCATTTGCTTCTTTGAATAAAATAAAGGTAGGAAAAGGACCTCCGTTTGTTTAGCAGCACCAGGGGTTTTATAGTGCCTATTTCTGTTCTGATAATATCAGTTGGTTTTTCTGAAAACAACTGAGCTGAGGTTTGTTGTTTCTTACCTAGACTTCCTGGGGGGACATATTTGATGGAAAGATTCATCACCCCTCGATGGTCAATGCCGTTGATGGCGGAGAGGCTCTGGAAAAGAAAAGGCCATGATAGGGTCAACTTCAGGAATGACCACAGATGGTTCAGTCATCAGAGGTACCAACTTCTAAAGCAGAGTATCAGCCGAGCTGCACTTACCCGTGGTTTGAGCATGTACCAGTTTAATTTATTGTTACTCCAATCCCAGCTGGCCAAGTCAATTTCCATTTCGCCTAAGAAACTGTTCCTTCCCAAGGGATCGTTGTGCCACACGGACAGGTTCAACTTTTGAATCAGCAAAACCACTTTCTGTATTTTATACTGGGGAGAAGGTAAAAGGAAAACGGATACACTTAAAGTCACCTGTAGCGCAGGTGTTTTGGGAAACACCTTAGAATTAAGACCTAAGACCCATGAATTGGGTATGTCTAGTTTAATGAAAAGGACTGTGGGGAGGGGGGAACATGATAGCAGTGTACAAGTATTTGAGGGGCTGCCACAAAAAAGAGAGAGTCAACCTATTCTCCAAAGCACTGGAAGGCAAGACAAGAAACAATGGATGAAAATTAATCAAGGAGAGAAGCAACCTAGAACTAAGGAGAAACTTCCTGACTGTGAGGACAATTAACCAGTGGAATGGCTTGCCTTCAGAAGTTGTGGGTGCTCCATCACTGGAGGTTTTTAAGAAGAGACTGGACAGCCATTTGTCTAGAGTGGTATAGGGTCTCCTGCTTGACCAGGGGGTTGGACCAGAAGATCTCCAAGGTCCCTTCCAACTTTGTTATTCTGTTATTTCTAATCTCCCTAAGCCAACCCTTGTTTTTCTTACCCGCAACACCTCGTTGTAAATGGGGCTGATGGTTCTTTTCTTCACTGATGTCTTTCTCTTGCCCATCCTTGCCTTATCTGGAAGCAGGTAGGTTTTGACGTATCTGGAAAGAGATGGTCACTAAGTGAAAAATTCAACGGACCAGGTTCTTGGATATCAACCAGAGATGATCTGGCTTCTGTATTCTGATGATTCAATGGACTTGGGGACAACCCTGGACAAAAGCTACGCTTGCCCATTTTTCTAATCTGAACATTTCTGCTAGGGTCATCCAAAATTTAAGAAGGCCTTTGTCAGGTATATTGGTAAAAACAAAGTGCCTGTCCTTAAGTTGTTGAAGGTATTGTGTCCTCTGGAAGATGTTTCCTTGCCAGATCATCCTTGCGTAAGTTTGCTCACCAAATCCATTAATTTCACAAGGAGTCCCAGCAGGATTTTGGACAACTCACTGCAGCCAACTCGTTGTGGGACATTTCACTGCTGGACAACTCAAGAGAGGGACAAGTGAATTGCAGAGGGCCTTGTCTTGCTTTAGGTTCAAAGTTCAAGTGGAGTGTTGGCCAGGACGAGTTGTCAGGGGCGAGTTGTCCCATTCTGTCCAGCCGAACTGAGACAGAAGTAAAATTCTTAGAGGATTCTCCGGTATCAGGATATTGCAAATCAAATTCCAGACAAAGAAACAATGCTTAACAAAAAAATTAGGACAGTAGATATTGCTAAGATTTTTTTTTTTTTTAGAGTTCACTTACGGATCTGTCCTTCCTTTTTTTTCATCCACAATTGCCAAGTCTTTGCACTGGGAAACAAAAATTTGGAATTCTTGGTTCTTCTCATCATAATCCAAGGCAAACTGGACCAGCCCCTGAGCATCGACACTGCCAAAATCACCACTGTACACACTCAGGACACTGCCACTCACCTAGAGAGAGGAGAAGACCATAAGGTTATCTGTGAGTACAACATAGAAAGTTCACCAGATGTTTAACAAGTCTCCATCATTTCAGCGTACGTTCTTGCTTCAAGCAGAAGTTTAATGTTATTTCAAAGACTTAGATCTGGGATATAACTTGGGCAGAATTAGGTAAAAAATCTCCTGAACTTTCTCAAGTTCAAATTCAACCCTAACCTTTGAAAACTTTGAGTCGCTGCCATTTTTGAAGAGGGAACTAATTACGCAGAAAGATCCTTCAGATTGAATCAGCATCAGTTACACTCACAATAATTTGCCAGAGAAGGACACACACAGTGCATACATTGTAATGAACTTCCTTTGTCTTACTTAAGACAGAATTTAAGGTAATCTGCACTTGGCTTGGATCAACCCAATCAGGTCAACTGAACCAAGAGCTCATGAATTACTGCACAGATTCTCATCCAGAGATCTACAAGTAGAATCATGGAATATAAGGGCTGGAAGCATCTGGTCTAGCGCAGTAATAATCAGAAGATTTTCTAATCTGAAAATCAGTAACCAGTAAATCAGTAATTCCTAATGCAACTACTGGTAGTCCTCAACTTACCATCACAATTCACCCCAAAATTTAAGTTGTGAAGTGAAAAATTTGTTAAGTGAGTTTTGATATTTAAGACTGTGACATTTAACTAATACCTGAGTATCTCAGGAAGCTTTCAGATAAGCCAGAATACTGCATCCAATTTTGGTCACCACGATGTAAAAAAGATGTTGAGACTTTGGAAAGAGTGCAGAGAAGAGCAACAAAGATGATTAGGGGACTGGAGGCTAAAACATATAAAGAACGGTTGATGGGATTGGGTATGTCTAGTTTAATGAAGAGAAGGACGAGGGGGGACATGATAGCAGTCTTTTAGTATCTCAGGGGCTGCCACAAAGAAGAGGGAGTCAAGCTATTCTCCAAAGCACCTGAAGGCAGGACAAGGAGCAACAGATGGAAACTAATCAAGGAGAGAAGCAATCTAGAACTAAGGAGAAATTTTCTGATAGTTAGAAGAATTAATCAGTGGAACAACTTGCCTCTAGAAGTTGTGAATGCTGGAAGTTTTTAAGAAGAAATTGGACAACCATTTATCTGAAATGGTATAGGGTTTCCTGCCTAAGCAGAGGGTTGGACTAGAACAGTGACGGCGAACCTTTTAGAGACCGAGTGCCCAAACTGCAACCCAAAACCCACTTATGCATCGTCGAGTGCCAGGTGGGTGTGGCCCATTGGCTGGGTGTGGCTCATTGGGTGGGCGTGGCTGCAGTGGTAACGGCAGACTGGGTGGGACTAAAAAGTTCAATCAGTCAATTCCAACTTTGCAAGAACTTTGTTTTCCCGCGATAAGTTGAAATTGACTGAACCTTTTTTTTTTGCACACGGCAGCGGAGGCCTAAAGCGAAAAGGTTTTATAAAACCCAGCTGAAGGTCTAGGATTGGGGCGACGACGCGCGTGCCCACAGAGAGGGCTCTGAGTGCCGCCTCTGGCACCCATGCCATAGGTTCGCCACCACTGGACTAGAAGATCTCCAAGGTCCCTTCCAACTCTGTTATTCTATTCTATTCTGTTCTGTTCTAATCAGGGTGGTGAGAAGAGGGTGGAAAAGAATTAGAATGATTTTGGAGGAGCTAAGTGGTTTTTTTACAAGACTGTCTTGCAGAAGCAACATCTCAAGAACCTACCGAAGAAACAGACGCCATGTCAGAGGAATGACTGCCCACGCTTGATGTCTTCTTATGCCTGTTGAACTGGAAGCTGATTTCTGAAGCCGTGTCTGATTCGGTCTGCAAAGCACATCAAAAGAGACTTTAAATCTGGCACCATATAAAAACTTACAGCCCTATACAGATGGATCCCCAACAGAGCTAACAAAGCAACATTATTCTTGGGTCACATCAGCGCTTCAAAAACCGAACTGTCCCATTAGCAGAACTTTCCGATGAACGAATCAATCACTGTTTCTCCTCGCAAGGATTTCATGATCCTATGATCCCATCCCAAATTTCTGGATCCTCTGAGCCCTTCCTTCTGATGGATGGGCCGCACATCCTACTTTTAAGAAGCACCCAAAGGTCTCAGCTCCATCCAGAAAACCAACCCGAGGCAACTGTTTATGAAGCTGGCTGGGAAAAAGGAGACTGAGGTTTAAATGCACTTTCAGCCATGACTTCGGTCTAATCCTTCAATTTGCCTACCTCACAAGCTGTCCCTCTGGGGATTAAATTGGAGATCCAAGGGGGAGAAGACAAGTTATTGGGGATGATGGTGATGTTAAAAACATCTACTAGAGGAACAATACCAATAAAATATCAACTTACCTCAGAGAGGAGGAGGAAAGGAGAGGATCTGCTGAGGTCTTTGGCTCGCTCAGGCTCAAGGTACTGATGACTCAGCACTTGGGGCTTCGTGTAAGCTAGGAACAAAAATAGACACGCTTTTGATGTTCTCTCTTGCTAAGTTGCAAGGTTAATAAGACATGGCTTGCAGGAATCATCTCTCCAGGAACGACAGAAATATAATAATTCCCCCAAATGCCAAAAATCACTGGAGGGATGGGGGAGAGAAATATCTTGGCTGAGAATGCTGGGAGTTGTAGTCCCCCACCCACCCCGGGCAGACACTTTTCAGGCCTGGTACCAAGACCCCGTCAAGAAACGGCACAGCCTTTTGAACAAGGCAGCAGAGTATTAATTTTGTGCATTGTGTTTTCCTCCCGAATTGTGAGAGACTTGAGGGTAGCATGGTAAGAGCAGAGAGGGGGGGGGGGAGAGGAAGGAATAAATAGCTATTTATTGCATCTTTTCTCTTTAGATTTGTCTCCCTCCAGTGGTCAAAACCAAACTTTTGAATGTCCCAAATATGCTTTTTTTTTTTTTTTCTTCAGGAGGGAACTGGACTTTCTCGTGGTTTTTTTTGAAGACGTTCCGCTTCTAATCCAAGAAGCTTCTTCAGCTCTGCCTGGATGGTGGGAAATGGAAGGATTTATATTCCTTGCAGACAGCTGGTCATTTGCATCCTTTTAGAAAGTCGTTGAGGCCACCTGGAGGTTTACCTGTGTCCTCAGAGTCAGCTGAGTAGTGCAAATGGGTGTGGAGCCTTCATGGCTGCAGGATGTTTTTTCTACCCTGGGTCCCTTCGCTGTTGAAGACAGATGCAGGTGATCCTGAGGACACAGATAAACCTCCAAATGGCCTCAACGACTCTCCAAAAGAAGGCAAATGACCAGCTGTCTGCAAGGAGTATAAATCCTTCCATTCTCCACCATCCAGTCGGAGCTGAAGAAGCTTCTTGGATGAGAAGCGAAACGTCTTCAAAGAAACACAAGAAAGTCCAGTTGCCTCCTGAAAAAAAGAGCACCTTTGGGACAACCAAAGAATCTCCATAGACAAATTTTTGTTTCTTTTAAAAGCTGGATTTTAAGTAGCTACCGCTACTTACTTTCAGTGGTTGTGTAAAGGTTGACCATGCTTTTTGCAAGATTGCAGCCGTTGGTGCGCCTTATTTTCTTGAAAACAGGAGCAGCAGGGACCTCTCCTTCTGGAACATAGGGAAGTCCATTGGTTGGTGTGGAACAATGGCAGACATTGGGCTTCACAGATTCCGAAGCTTAACTAATTGTCTCTAAGGAGGGGACGGATCCACAGAGGGGTCAAAAAAAAAGCCAGGTGACAAACCATAACCAGGTAGTCCTTGTGGCCGTTAAGTTCAGGACTACCTATATGAATTTTAAAGTATAGAGAGCTAGAAGGAATTAAGTTTCTTGCTTATCTCAAGTCCAGATCAGTCTAGAGTCCAGGGTTAGGCAACCTTGGCTCTTTTATGACTCGTGGACTTCAGCTCCCAGAATTCCTGAGTCAGAGTGGCTGGTTCAGGAATTCTGGGTATTGAAGTCCACAAGTCATCAAAGAGCCAAGGCTGCCCAACCCTGGTCTAGATGTCCTGACTCTAATGCGATCACATAACAGCAACCAAAAGCAAAACAGAAGAGTAGTTGTGTATTGATGCATCTCCAGAGTCAAAGTCTGGTTGATATTGCTGGTGGATATCACCCTGGAGAACAACAATGATCCACGAGCATTATCTATACAAACCCTAATTACTTTATGATGGCTACTAATGCAATTTCAAGCATTAACAAGACTTGAAAGCTACACCAGGGTGTTCTGTGTTCAGATACAAATTCTACTGCAAACTGCAACTGTGGTTTTTGAAACAGTGTGAATTTCTTGGCAGAGAACTTGGGAGGTCGTCTTCTACAAAATTCACCACTCCTTTCCCACTAGTGGGACTCTTTCTTAGTGGTCATAGTTATGGAGAAAGGCCCACTAGTGATGCATTGGGGACTTGACGAGAGGATTGTTAAGATATTGAATGCAATTCTTGGCTGTCCCATAATACTTTAAAGAACATTCCCACACATCCTCTCCTTACCCTCTGACATGTTATTGTCCCTTGAAAGCATTTCTAAAAGCAGGTTTTCCTTCCTTACATTCAATTAGGACTGGCAGGGGAAAAAATGAGAAGAATTTCTCTGTTCTGCTGGAATGCAATCAAAGTTAATGATTTTTATCCACTGTTGTTGCTAGGAAAGCTGTTGTGCTGCTTCAGAGAGACAACTGGAACTGCTCACATTTTCTTTAAGATGAATTCACCACCAAATTTTCAGACAAAACTACGTGAGCTTTTGTCTGTAGCAACCAAACGATATCAGCATTTTCTTGATGATCACAGGCTAGCAATGTGTAGCAGTTATTAGTAGCCTAGATATTTTAATATCTTAATTTTAATTGGTGTGCCAGACTGACATTCTCGAACGGAATTGGAAGGAGGGGGGGGGGAGGAATAAACCAGGATGACAAATAATTTTGATTTGATTTATATTTCCTTGATACTCAGCACAGTTGCTACCATTCTTTTCCAGTCATATAGTTAACGATTTTCCTTTCTGCCATATAAAAAGCATTGCAATTTGGTAACCATTTTTGGGAATTGTAAGAGGTCAACTCCAAATAACGAGGGAATGCAATTATGCTGTGTATATCAAATGGTTTAAACAAGGAAAAACATGTTATTGAGTAGATAAATAATTGCATAATATATGGACTGCTGTACGTACATTATATGTGTATGTGTGGGTAGGTTTTATATTTCTGTGTGTGTCTATACATCTACCAGCCAATGCAATTATTTTATTTAACCAGGAAACGTCAGTACCTGAAGGCACATAATTATTCACTTCTTGAGCGTCTTGATTCTCATCATCTGCTTGGCTTTCTGGAAGGTCCTCCATAAAACTACATAGTTCAGCTTCATGCAGGATCTCAGTCGTTTGCAGATTGTTCAGATCAGGACATCTTTCTACAACATCAACCCCTGGATCCATCTCCTCTGATGGTACGGACTCGATCAAGATCTGAACCCTTCCTGCCAAGGAATCCATCTTACGTTTGTTTTCTTCGATCATGACAAACTCATCGGCAGGAATCTCTGGCTCATAAATGATCCCTCTCGGTTCTTTGATGGGTGCCTCTATTTTGACCGAAGGCACCCAAACCGGTAATTTTGATCTCTTGGTGGAACGCTGGACTTTCCGTTCTTCTTCCACTGAAGACTGCTTCCCGTTCCCCTCACTTAGATGGTTCCGATTTCCCATTGAGCCTTTGCGTCTGCCATAGGACGATCTGGGGATGTGGGAGCCTGACCCTTTCCTTGGTGGGCTGGTATAAAGAGGTTCATCTTCACTGGAAGACAAGATCACGGATCTGTTGTAGACGATTCTGATTTTAGTGTTCATGTTGGAACTAAGCTTGTCATCGCTCGTCTGGCCTTGATTGGACTGGGCTGAGAGAGACCGGTTCAGTCTGGGTGGCCTCCCATTGACCTCTGTGGGGTTGGCTTTTTCCATTAGTTTTTCTTCTGTGTCGCTAGCCAAGAGAGAATCACCACCTTTCTCCCAAAAGTTTTTCAGGTTTTTGAAGTGTGCATGGTCGACACCAATTTCCTCATCCTTGTTACTGACCGATGAAACGATAATGTGATTGGCATCCGGTTTCAGTGGAGGACCGTTTTCCTCTCCTACAGGTGGGAATTTGAAAACCTTCAAGACTTGTGTCTTCTCTAAGCCCAGCCCAGATTTCTTAGCTCCATCGCTGTGGGTGAAGTTGGGAGAGAATAATGGTTTGCTTGATTTTCTGTTCACTGGTATTCTGCTAGGTGGGCTGAATTCCTTTTGAAGAGCTGGTTGAAATCCTCTGATTTCCTTAACACCATCAGGGGCATCCTCCACAGTGTTAGAAACATCATCTCCCACTGAGTAAGACAACTCATCAAGAAGCTTGGTGGAGCTCCCTGGTGAGAGTTCACACCCTATGGGAAAAAGACAAAAGAAAGAATCTCCAGAACTGTAGTGAAAGACCTGAGTTTACACACCAGTTAGTCCAAACAGGGGTCCTCCACACACATTGGACTATCCACCATTTCTCAGAATCGTAGGAATTTTAGAAGCTGAAGAACAAAATATCTGGACACCATCATTATGGGGAAAGTCCTATATGTTCCCTTGTGATGTGTGTTAAGCAAACATGGTACCCATCCATCTAAAACGAATTGTTGCTTACAATCACAAAAGGATAAATGGTACTAAGGTTGGGACCACATTTGGTATCTTCAAATAGGTCTCAGGATATTAATTCTGGCAAGGGGCATTGTTCATGTCCACATTGGACTATTTTTAAATTTCCAAGAGCGCCTCCACATAAAAATGGTGCGGCTATTAATGTAAATGATGGAACAATCTGTCCAATATTGCTTGTAACCCAGCTTTTATCTGCCACCACATCCAGATAAGTCCGCTAAGTTGTCACAACAGAGAAGTGGAGACATCTCAAAGTTAAGCTCTGATTGGGTTACCACTGTGGTCTGCAGTCAAATAGCAAATCATAGTTTCCCAATTGAAGTGGGAGAAGAAACCATGGTTTAACAAAGCCAAAAAAAGAAAAAGCATTCTATTCAAACAAAAGAGAAGAGGAACCTTGATTATACAAGATTTGTTAGTGGCCTAATCTCCGATTTAGGTTATGGTTTCACTTCTTGGCTAAATGCTTGCTCAGTTTGAAAATGGGCAAAGTCCGCTTAATCTGGAATAGAATGGAAATAAGACAGAAGGAAACAATATAGGGTAGGTCTCAATTTCAATAGCAATAGCACTTAGACTTATATACCGCTTCACAGTGCTTTACAACCCTCGCTTAGTGGTTTACAGACTCAGCCTCTTGCCCTCAACAATCTGGATCTTCATTTTACTGACCTCGGAAGGATGGAAGGCTGAGACAACCTTGAGCCAGTCAGGATCGAACTCCAGGCTGTGGGCAGAGTTAGCCTGCAATACTGCATTCTAACCACTGTGCCACCACGGCTCCTAATGCAACATCCGATCAGCTACAGCCATAACAATAGCACTTAGACTTATATGCCACTCCACAATGCTTTACAGCCCTCTCTAAGCGGTTTACAGAGTCAGCCTCTGGCCCCCAACAATCTGGCTTCTCATTTTACCGACCTCGGAAGGATGGAAGGCTGAGTCAACCTTGAGCCGGTGAGAATCGAACTGCCGAATTGCTGGCAGCCGGCAGTCAGCAGAAGTAGCCTGCAGTACTGCATTCTAATCACTACGCCACCAGGGCTCTTTCAAACCACCATCATTGTTCTTAAAATATTCAGCTGATCCGAAACATGAGGTTTATCCTGTTCGTTCTTCACTAGCAGCAGTGGTCAACGAATCCATTGACTACATATTGTCTCTTAGATCCAATTTGGGTGTCAGCCTCCCAGTCTCCATCTGAGATCAATACTGCTGAAACTGGGTGGCAAATTGCTAAACATTAGTAGTGCAATTTTATTGTCAGCTGAAAAACAGAAGAAATAAATTGATGTATAGTTTTAGGATAAAGTAACAAGAAAACTCTAAACGCAGACTTGCAACACACAACAACTTGTTTACTTGGGTAATAACACTTGGGCCCTATTCTCCAACCATTAAAAATAACACCCTGAAATAAAGTTAGCCATATTCTCTCCCTGTGGGAATGTGTTGCCTCATACCTTGTGAAAAACCTCATTCCTTGAGTTGAAACTTTTAAAACATGATTTGTAGACCATGCTTTGTTTTCTTACCAACTTCTGAGTTTTCCCTTGTAGCCGCAAATGGACTGACCACAACCCCGCTGTCTGCTGGAGATACATCTTCTACACTGGATTTCTGAAGAAGAAGAAAAAAAGATCAGATTTTTGTGACCAACACAGAAAGGTTGACGGTTTGTTAGGATTTTTTGGGGTCACCAAGGACTGAACTACTAAACCTTAATGGCAGGAATGACAAAATGGAGAATGGAGAGCTCTTTTTAGATGTTCCCTCTACATGGGAAATGAATGCATGAAGGGGACACATGCCCACCATCTCATCTTAGCTTCCATTCAGTAGATTTAGCAGAAGGATGAATGGGCTTTTCAATGCACCCTTCCACACAAACTGTAGGTAAGTCCAAACTGTCAAAAATCCCAGTCATGGAAGGTTTCTTGATTGCACAAAAATCTGTCTGCATAAAGTTGGTGACAATGAGAGCAATTGATCAGTTGAACAGCTTGCCTCTGGAAGTTGTGGATGCTCCAACGCTGGAGGTTTTTAAGAAGAGACTGGACAGCCATTTGCCTGCTTAAAGTCTCCTACTTGAATAGAGTAGAGTAGAGTAGAGTAGAGTAGAGTAGAGTAGAGTAGATGAAGAATAGAATAGAATAGAACAGAACAGAACAGAACAGAATAGAATATAGTAGAGTAGAGTAGAGTAGAGTAGAGTAGATGAAGAATAGAATAGATGAAGAATAGAATAGAATAGAATAGAATAGAATAGAATAGAATAGAATAGAATAGAGCTGGAAGGGACCTTGGAGGTCTTCTAGTCCAGCCCCCTGCTCAAGCAGGAGAATCTATACTGTCTCAGACAGGTGAATGTCTAGCCTCTTCTTGAAAATCTCCAGTGATGGAGTGCCCACAATTTCAGGAGGCCAGCTGTTCCACTGGTTGATTGTCCTCACTGTCAAGAAGTTTCTCCTTAATTCCAGGTTGCTTCTCTCTTTGATCAGTTTCCAACCATTGTTTCTCATCCTTCCCTCTAGTGCTTTGGTGAACAACCTGCCCCCCTCTTTTTTGTGGCACCCCTTCAGATTGAGTAGAGGGTTGGACTAGAAGACCTCCAAGGTCCCTTCCAACGCTGATATTTTGCATTCTGATGTCTGTACCTTTGTTTCTGGCTTCCAACAAATGAGGTGGGGGTTTCCCCTTACCCAATTCCCTCTCTATGAGGTTGAGATTCAGGTGGAGGACATGTCTAAAAAGACCTCAGTTTCTTGAGATCAGGTTCCATGCTACTTCCTTGTGGTTTTTTTTTACTACCTTTTCTAAAGAAGAAGGCCAGGCCGACAATTTCACTCTTGGCTTTGACTTGAGCAGTTGCCCTTCTGCAGAATTCAAACCAGGTTCATACAACCTGTAGAGACAGAACGATATTTCATCAGAAGACCCAGAACTTGAGAAATGAGAGAAAGGATCTTGCTTCTGGACCCAGGCTGTCTCATGTTGCTACTTCTCATGGTTTCTCCCACTGTTCTTCTAGAGAAGAAACACCATAGATTTGAGGGTGAAGGAATTCCTAGAGTCATATTCAGTTTGGCAGGATCTAAATCAGGGATCTCCAAACTTGGTAACATTAAGACTTGTGGACTTCAACTCCCAGAATTCTCCAGCCAGCTTCTGTCCTCTTAGAAAAGTTTGGCCAAGTCTAAAAAAACATGGAGGAATTCTGAACCACTGAAATGAACGGTTTTATAGCACGTTCCTGTACAAAGAACTGATATTTAAAAAGGAGATTGTGCCATTGTTATGCACCATGATATATACCATTGTTAGATGGCTATAAGTTTAAAGGGGGCTTCTGGGAGAGAAGGAAAGGAGATAAAAAAGCATTGGTCAGCATAGTGTTAAATCCAGTCCATACAAGCATTGCAGGCAAGTTAAAATGCACTCAAGTGCAGGACCATGGATTGATTTTAAAATGCTGGGAATTTTAAATTTTACTTTTTAAAAAAATATTTCTTAAAATGTTTTTTAAAAAAATATTTTTAAAACAATTTTAAAATTTAAATTTTAAAGTGCTGGGGACTGCATAAGCAAGAAATCTGTAATTTCCAAGCCAGAAAAGGCTATTTTATACCATTGCGACCCTACATTTTTCTTCCATGTCTACTTGTTCATACATACAGTATATGGGCAACATTCAGCCAGGAATCAACAATCATGGCTGTTGGCTTTAACTTTAGTCTTCTGTGCAGACCTAGCTTTAGTGGTGGATAGACCATGATGTGTAGCTGGGTGAAGACTTAACTAAGGTTGGTTTACAAAAACAGTTCTACTGAAGCAAAGCAGGGCTGGAATTGTAAACCCAGCTGCAAGATGCAAACATCTTGAAAAGGTTTCCTGTAGTAGGTGGGAAATTAATATTTGAAATATAGGAGAAGCCAAGTGCTCCAGACATCAGCCCCATTTAAACCAGAATCTGATCCAAAAGTAAATCTATTATGTTTGATGTATTGAATTGCAAAATGCTCAAGGTTTTTTTTTTCCATCTAGTTTCTCGGCAAATGAACTGCTAGGAAACACAAAGCTGTTCGGTTCCTAGATAAATAATCTAGCAAACTGCATGAAAGCGTTCCAGCATTTCAGCTGGAAAGATTTATTATTAGCCTTTCTTTTGCGAGCTGGCTTTGCAAGCTTTTTTTTTTTGCAGTCCACAAAACCACTACCGGAATTGACGGCTGAGGTTTACCTGCCAGTTGAAAGAACAAATAGTGCCTATTTTTTGCAGTGAGGCTTTAACAGGGCAGGTTTTACTTCTTGCCCAGTCTCTAGGTTTCAAACTTGGTTGTGCAATGGACTTCCAACAATCTCACTGGGAAAAGTCCGGAAGAGAGGCACAATTAAAAATAAAATACAAAAGGAACCCATTCCCACTGGTGCTTAAATGCAAAATGCCTCCTTTCTTGATAGCCCAACAAACTCTCCCACCCTCCACTTCAAAAGCAGCGTGCAAAACAAAAGCCTTTTGCTGAATCACATATGGGGAAAAAAACAAACAAACACGGCTTGATACGTTGCCAAACCTTAACAGGATAAAGTTATCTTGGCAATTCCTGCAAAAGGTTTTAAAATAACTCTGCTTTAGTATAAATAGACAAAACAACTGCATTCCTGCAGTACGCTGAGCTGGGATGGTGAAGGACTGGATTTTCTGGATTTGCACAATACAGGGAACCCAACGTTAGCCAGACCAAGGTTAAAATTAATCGCCGTGTAATGCAGCCTCCAGGTTTGCAACTGAGCTGCTGAGGGCCCTTGAATCCCATCAGCAGAGCATCTTCCTCCTTCACTTCTCATGCTGTGCCTGCATTTCTTATTGCAAAAGCTTTGCTCACACTACTGGAAGATTTCATTTCATTTCATTTATTCAATTTGTATCCCGCCCTTCTCCCGAGGGACTCAGGGCGGCTCACAACATTTTTTAAAACAAAAACAAACCCACAACCCCCGCCGAATAAAACCAATTAAAACCCAAATATTTTAAGTTGTGATATTTAAAATTTTCTAAAAATCAACCCGATTTAAAAATCCTCCCTAGGCCAGGCCCGCTTGCTGAAAAAGCCATGTCTTGAGGGCGCGGCGGAAAGTCAGGAGATCCGGAATCACCCGGATCTGGGGGGGTAGTTCGTTCCAGAGGGCGGGGGCACCCACAGAGAAGGCCCTCCCCCTGGGGGTCGCCATCTTGCCTTCATTTCCTATTCTTCTCTCTTGCACCAAAACCATCGTCCTGACTTGGTCTGAAGGTCTCCTTCTATCTAACACAATTCTGCAGTTTCCCCCAGGCTGCCCCATTATCCCAAGAATCCTCTCAAGATGATGGATGGAGGGATGGAGGGAGGGATGGATTGACTGATGAAGGACATTGATGTAACCACTCTTCTTAACCAAGGTAACTCTTGGTGCTGGGTGATCAAGAAAGGATGCATGTTGCATTGGAACACCAGTGGAGAACAGAAAATTACAGACGCGGAAAAAATAAAAATACAGTAAAAGCAACTATGGATGAAAAACCCAGTCAAGGTGACTCTAAACCTTTTCCAACAGCTTGAAACCAAGAAATCTTCAACAGCAGAAAGCAAGTACACTCACATGCCAGACTCCATTAACATCTCGGTCCTAATGCTTGGGAGAAAAGCAAGGCCTTCCATCTAGAAGACCAGCGGAGTTGGAGCTGTCCAAGGATCAGCAGGAAAGGTTGTTCCATAAGGCAGGTGCCACAACAAATACTATTATGCTGTCACACTTCTTCTTTTTCTTCCTAAGCCCACTGACCCACTCTATCTCCAATTTTCTTGGGTTTGTCTAGTTTCTGCCCTCAGCTTCCATCTGAAGCTCCTATATTTTGCCCACGCTCATCCTATTTTCTCCATGTTGGAGAAAAAAGCAGGATGTAAATGTCATCTACTAGTAATAAGAGGTTCACAGCTAAGCAAGGAACACACTGTTAGGTTAGTGCTTTCAACTTGCATTTAAGAATTACCTTCCTTCTTCTGAGGGAGACGAAGACGAAACAGCTGCCTGTCCACCTTCCACGATTTGGGGGATGAATTCATTATCGGTACCTGTTGAGAAAAGCCAATCGTGTTTCATCTGTTTTCTAAGAATGCTACATTTGGAAAATTCCTCGGCCCTCCCTGCAGTAAGACAAAGGGCAATTAATAATGACGAACAATCAGTCACGCTATGGTAATTCAGCAGCGTTGAAAGGTTAGATTGGTTTTGGAATAGTGGTTTTTTTCCCCCCTGGAAATGAGTCTGATCATGCCAGGAAGCAGCATGGAGCTGAACTCATGGGCGAGAGCCGGGTGTGCAAATGACAACATGTTGTGTTACCAGGATGCAAGTTCACAATGCTAGCATACTGTTTCCACAGTTTAGTTTTGCTTTTTATTTTGTCTTTTCGTCCCAAAGCTTCAGATAATGTACACTGCAGTCACTTTTTGCCTTACAAGATCAATCCTATGGGATAGGCTGAGGAGGAGGAGGGGACGGGGAGAAGGACTAGCCTGAGGTCTCTCTGTTCCTACTCTACCACCTTCACCATGCTGGATCTTGAGATGAGAGGGAGGGACTGCCCAAAGTCAGCTACTATAGCTGAGGAATACACTAGAAACTCAGTCGCCCCTCATCATTCATACATCATCCTTTTGACATCATCCTATCTTCATCACCATCATCATCACTGCATCTGTATCATCATATCATTATCATCATCATCATCATCATCATCATCATCATCATCATCATCATCATCATATCTTCATCACCATGTTATTATCATCATATCATCATCATCATCATCATTGCTGGAAAAATTCCCATTAAAGTTATTTCAACCAGCCACCAGGCCTTGACCTAAAGGCAGGATTACATTCCAGTGAAATTGCACCAAAATTAATTGCAATCTTCCAAAAATGGAACTGCCAGTGTTGCAAGTCACTTGGTACATATCAACAACTTTGGGGGTGACACCTCACTGAATGTTTTCAAACAACTGGGAAAAGTACTCTTTCTGAATAAATCTTGCTGTTGCTTTATTGTCCATATTGCCTAATAGCAAATGCAAATTATATTTGCATCCATCCATCTACCTATGCATAAAGTGATACAAAGAAGAATTTGGAGCCAGGCTCAGTGGTTAGTAGCCAGGCCTCGTACCACAAAACATTCTTGCTTTGGTGAAACTCTTTTGGCTGAAAAGCTGACCTGACAAAAGAAGAAACTTTGTAAACTTCAACAATGATTTCTTAAATTTTGGTCACCATACCACAAGAAAGATGTCAAGAGTTTGGAAAAAATCCAGAGAAGAGCAACTAAGATGATCAAAGGCCTGGAGACCAAAACATACGAAGAACAGCTACAGAACTTGGGTTTGGCTAGTCTAAAGAAAAGAAGAAATAGGGGAGACAGGATAGCAGTGTTCCAGTGTCTGAAGGGCTACCACAAGGCAGAGGGGGCCAGGTTGTTCACCAAAGCACAAGAGGGAAGGACCAGAAACAATGGTTGGAAACTGACCAAAGAGAGAAGCAACCTGGAATTAAGGAGAAGCTTCCTGACAGTGAGGACAATCAACCAGTGGAACAGCTTGCCCCCCCAGAAATCGTGGGCGCTCCATCACTGGAGGTTTTTTAAGAAGAGACTAGACATTCACCTGTCTGAGATGGTATAGATTCTCCTGCTTGAGCAGGGGGCTGGACTAGAAAACCGCCAAGGTCTCTTCCAGTTCTACTCTACTCTACTCTACTCTACTCTACTCTACTCTACTCTACTCTACTCTACTCTACTCTACTCTACTCTACTCTACTCTACTCTACTCTACTCTACTCTACTCTACTCTACTCTACTCTACTCTATTCTATCAGGAGTGTCCAACCTTGGCAACTTTAAGACTCGTGGATTTCAACTCCTAGAATTCCCCAGCCAGCTACATCAAGTTGGACACCCCTGTCTTAAATAATCATACTAGCTATTTTTAAATAGTTTTCCTAAAAGGTAACAATTATACGAATGCAGTCTTTGGCAAACAAGATTGAATGAACATGGATGTTTAAAATATTTATTTTGGTAGGATTGCCTGTGTTTATATAGAGAGATGTATGCACAGTCCCAATGTTTCTTTCCCTTAAGATGTTTTTGCCAATTTTGTAAGTTTTTCTGTTCTATTCTGACTATTTTTTTTTGAATTAAAAAATTCCCAGAATTCATGTTGCAGAAATTTAACAAAGGAAAAAAAACATGCGGGTTAAAATCTGTAATTTTGTGTTTGGTTGCTCTGCACTGAATGAGCAAAACTTTAAGTATATCTACCACCTTCCTGTACTTGGAAATTCACCCCGGTCCCCAAAAATGCTGGTTATGTTTGGCTGTTTAAAGCTAGCCCAGAGTTAAGACTTGACAGGGCCATAGCAACAGTTGAGAAATTTAGCACATGCAGCACAAGAGAAAATGGGCAATGGGTAGGATGCTGACAACAGCAAACTCTATCAAAACTCAACACCTCAACACCTATTTAAACCCTACCTGGAGATCCAGTTTGGCTTTTTCTTTCAGGAGGCCAAATAACCAATCCAGATCAAAGCTAAACAAGGCAGAACTGAGTCTGTCAACAGAGTTAATCCATTGCAGGATATTAAGCCAGCAACTTCCTGTTTGGAACCCAAGTTATTTGAACTTGGCAAACAGAGGAGGTGACTGAGTAAGGGCTCATAAAAGGAGATGCCCTGTGCTTGTTTGCTCTGGCAGAGAAGAACACAGTCATTTTTTATTTCTTTTTGCTCTGCTAGTCGAAAGGAAAATAATGCAGGCCAGGTAAATTGTGCAGAGAGCGTGCAAAGAGTGCTGGGGGTCAACGAAACCTTAGAGTTTCAAACTCCTCTGTTAGGACTGAACTGCCAAAGGAAGTTTCATTTCAAGCATCACATGGGTAGGGGGCAAGATAGGGTGCAATAGAACATGGAACAACAGAGTTGGGAGGGACCTTGGAGGTCTTCTAGTCCAGTGATGGCGAACCTTTTAGAGACCGAGTGCCGAAACTGCAACCCAAAACCCACTTATTTATCGCCGGGTGCCAGGTGGGTGTGGCCCACTGGGTGGGCGTGGCTGTGGTGGTCATGGCAGATTGGGTGGGTGTGGCCAAGGTGGGCGTGATCACCTCGATGTTGTTTGTGGGGAGGGACGCCTGTCGGGGCCGGGCAGGGTTGGGGGAGATCCAGGGGGTCTCTGGCAGGTGGGGCGGTGGGCAGGAGGCTCGTCCTGTGGGTTAAGGCGAGGCAAGGTGAGGCAGGGCGGGGGTGCCATTGTCACAGGGCAAGGTGAGGCAGGGGCCGGAGCGGCTGCTGCCTGACACCATCGGCCCCTGCACACAGAGGCCAGCGAGCGCATGGGTGCTGGAATGCATCCAGCCATGTGGGACCTCAGCGAGTTAGTGGGCGGCTGGTTGAAGAGGGACGGTTGCCATCTCCAGGGCATGGTGAGCGTGCCCACAGAGAGGGCTCTGAGTGCCGCCTCTTGCACACGTGCCATAGGTTCGCCACCACTGTTTTCCAATCTTTTCTTGAAAACCTCCAGTGATGGAGCACCCACAACTTCTGAAGGCAAGCTGTTCCACTGATTGTTCTCACTGTCAGGAAATTTCTCTTTAGTTCGCCTCAAAAGTTGCTGATATTGAGAAATGCAGATCTCTGATCAAGATCCTCACAATTTTTGGCCAGTCTGGCAGCAACACTCAAGATCACCTTAGATCTTAAACTAGGAAGAGATCCATGCAGGCACCCTTCTTTTTTAAATTTGAGACAAAAGAACAAGAATAAGAGCAACTTGTCTAAACTTGTTCACGCCATTCAGTTCATAACCATTCGTAACGTTCCATTTTACTGCCACTTTTCTCTTGAGGAATATACAGTATTTCAAAACAAACATTCCTCCATCTCGTCTAATCGTTCTTAATATGCAAGCCATTCCTTTTTGGTTTTCTCCTTACTGGAAGTCGTCTGTCTGACTTATACGGAAAGCTGTTCCTGAGCCTTAACAAAATTTAAAAGGTGGTTTTCAATACAAGCCTAAGAAAACAATGACTTGGAAGGAGAAACTTTGCTGTTCTTATAAATAACACTCTGAACTCAACACTTGTCCAACCTGTTTCTCTGGCTGGGTTCTTTGTTTGGTTAAAGGTCCACCTTTTTTAAAAGTTATAATCTCTTCACCAACTTACTATCTGGTTGGAAACAGAGTCCTGATAAACGTAAGAATTTCAGAGTTATATACGCTCCGACAGGTTGAGGTGGCTTTATATTTTCTATTCAAATGCCATGTTGAAGTCCACGAGTCATTAAAGAGCCAAGGTTGCCTACCCCTGCACTAAATGAACTGTCATAAGTTGAGGCCTACCTGTACCCTGTTATGATGGGAACCAGGGCTAGCGTTTCCCCCTTGAGCTGAATCAGAAACGAAATTTGAACCAAGTTTCTGAGAATAGGAAAGAGTGGATGGAGCCTCAGGCTGAGTGTGACTTGAATGTTCGTCTAGGCGTCAAAATGCTTCAACACTCACAGTCAGAATGGCTGCTTCTCTTCCTAATGGAAGCTCGGAGTAGATCTGGGCCTTCTAAATCCTCTCGGAAGCGCTGGGCCTTCGCTTCATGGAACCACTCGCCCGTCACAAACTTCTTTTTCTTCTCATCCTTCAGCGAACCTTGCAACCGCCTAAGCAGAAGATAAGAGCAAAAAAAAACAGAAAACGAGAGAAAGCATGCACCATGGCTTAATATTTGATGGACATCTTCCGCTGAAAATGTGCCAAAGAAACAAATCACGAAACTCCCTATTAAAGACCTGTAAATTCAAGAGCGTGGCTGGCTGGGGAATTCTGGGAGTTGAATTCCATCCCTCTTAAAGTGGCCAAGGTTAACAAGTACAGATCTAGGGGGGGGGAGAAATAAATTCTCTAGTTTCTCAAAAGGAGAATTCTCAGTTCTGCTACCATCTGGTAAACATAGTAATAATAATAATAATAATAATAATAATAATAATAATAATAGTAGTAGTAGTAGTAGTAGTAGTAGTAGTAGTAGTAGTAGTAGTAATAATAATAATAATAATAATAATAATAATAATAATAATAAAGTTGGAAGGGACCTTGGAGGTCATCGAGTCCAACCCCCTGCTCAGGCAGGAAACCCTATACCATTTTAGACAAATGGTTGTCCAATCTCTTCTTAAAAACTTCCAGTGTTGGAGCATTCACCGCTTCTGGAGGCAGGCTGTTCCACTGGCTAATTGTTCTAACTGTCAATCTTGTATCTCTGCACGCATGAATAGTTTGATGCACTGTCAACAGGTCCCTCCTACCTACCTGATCCGATCACCGTCCTTTTTCTTGAGCTCTGCATCCCTCTGCAACACTCGCATCAGCTTGCCATACTCTTCCTCGGTCAGAAAACTGAGGTCCAGCATCTTCTCCTTGACGTCCCACAAACCAGTCCAAACGCTGGCCCTTCAGATGTACGAGGATGAGCAGCGAGCTGGTCATTGACTTTGAAGCTCTCTGAAGGAACTGAAGTGGCCAGCCCTTCAGGCCAGGCTGCCTGGCAGAAGGACCTTTTGGAAGGTCCGATTGGTGTAGCAAAGCCTGAGTCTGTCCTGCCCCAACTGGACACTCATGTAGCTGTCGGTGGAATGATGAAAGTGTTTCTCCACAAAAGCCTTCCCGCTCTGCTTGGTCTGGGTGGAGGGGGAAAGTGTGAGCTGTTGGCTTGAGTGGTCCAAAATCTGAATGGCGATTTTTAAAGGATTGCGATAGCGCATTGGAGCACAAAGTCACTGGCCATTCCAGTATTGGTGGTCTTGTGTCAAAGGAGTCTGCCAGTCCAGTTCTCTCATGTCTGCAGAGGGAGGGAGGGAGGGAGGGAAGGAAGGAAGGAAATAGAAAGAAGAGGAGATAAGAGGAATAGAAGGGGGAGGGAGAGAGGGAAGGAGGAAGGAAGGAAGGACAAAGTGAGAAGAAGGATGGATGGAAGGAAGGTAGGGAGAGGAATAGAGAAAAGGAGGAAAGGAGGAAGGATAGAAAGGGAAGAAGGAGGGATAGAACGGGAGGGAGGGAAGAAGAAAGGGCAGAGGAAAGAGGAAAGAAAGTAAAAGAAAGGGAGGGAGGGAGGAAAACAAATGTACTTGAGGTGCTCTTTTAAATAAAGGCAACATATGGCAATCACTTGTGTAAACTGGGAGCATTTACTTGTGCCTGAACACATGAATTCAAGCAATCAATATTCTGTGTGCGCCTTAATCATAAATGAAAGATCTCTTCATGGAAGAGTAGAAAAATCACCCACCCGGAGTGGAAACTTGTGATTCAATTCCCCAGATGTGGACTTCCTGCAAAGAGGCTTCTGCACACTAGAAAACAGGATGCTGACCCACTGCCACTAGTACCCTTGTCTCAGATTCGTGAGAATCTCACCTAACTTTTCTTTTCTCCTCTCTCTGTCTCTCTGTCTCTCTTTCTGTTTCTCTCTCTATGTCTCTCTCTCTGTCTCTCTCTCTCTCTGTGTCTCTCTCTCTGTCTTTCTCTCTTTCTCTCTCTCTGTCTTTCTCTCTTTCTCTCTCTCTGTCTTTCTCTGTCTCTCTCTCTTTCTCTGAATCTCTCTCTCTCTGTCTCTCTCTCTGTGTCTCTCTCTCTTTCTCTCTCTGTGTCCCTCTCTATCTGTCTCTCTGTCTTTCTATCTCTCTCTCTGTCTCTTTCTCTCTGTCTCTTTCTCTCTGTCTCTGTCTCTCTGTCTCTCTGTCTCTCTGTCTAAGTCTCTCTCTCTCTCTCTCTCTGTCTCTCGTCTTTCTATCTCTCTCTGTCTCTCTGTCTTTCTATCTCTCTCTCTCTCTCTCTGTCTGTCTCTCTCTCTCTCTTTCTGTCTCTCTCTGTTTTTCTCTCTCTGTCTCTCTCTCTGTCTCTCTGTCTTTCTATCTCTCTCTGTGTCTCTCTCTCTCTGTCTCTGTCTCTCTCTCTCTCTCTGTCTCTCTCTCTCTGTCTATTTCTCTCTGTCTCTCTTTCTCTGTCTCTCTGTCTTTCTAGCTCTTTCTGTTTCTGTCTGTCTCTCTCTGTCTCTCTCTGTCTCTCTGTGTCTGTCTCTCTCTCTCTCTCTCTGTCTGTCTCTCTTTCTTTCTCTCTCTCTGTCTTTCTCTGTCTCTCTCTCTCTCTGTCTCTGTCTTTCTATCTCTCTCTGTCTCTCTCTCGGTGTCTCTCTCTGTGTCTCTGTCTCTCTCTGTCTCTCTCTGTCTTTCTCTCTGTCTCTCTCTGTCTTTCTCTCT